AGTTGTGCGGATTGAGGAAACATACATTTAGGACCTGGCACAGTTTATAACAGGCTCTTGTTGCCTGGTTTTACTATTACTATAGGTATATTGTGGGTCTCTTAAACCATTTCTACATTATCTCTGTTTTTAAAAATGCTCTCTCTCTCAAAATCTACAGTGGAATACAGTGGGAAAGGTTTTGTTTTCTTTTAACTTAAAAAGCACCCTTAGTATGTCTCTTACGTTTTTGCCAGACTCAAGGACCCCCAGTTGGGTCCCAGGGCCTCTCTCTGAGAACCCCTAGTGTGGGCAGCCCAGCCTGTCCCTGCCGGACACATCCCCTGCAAGCTGGAGGTCGAAAGAAATGGCTGTCTGCTGCTTTTAGTGTTGTTCCTAAATACGATGTTGCCTCAGCTTCAAGCCTCTAAAACTCCCCTGCCCGCCCTTCCCGCATACATTAGCCTTAATGTATTCTCTCTTGAATACTCGTCATATTAAGGCTCCCGGTAGATACCTTGCTCGAAATAAATTTTACGGGCATGCATCCTCGCCCTCATCCCCATGCATTTGTGGCCAGGAGGAGAAATAGAACCGCTTTCCTCGGAGGCCAAACAACAATTAGGTGGGAATTGGCGGCCCTCTGGCCCGGGGGGAGGGCGGGGTGCGGGGAAGGAGCGGGCTCGCGCCCCGAGGGTCGTCCCCAGACCCCAACCCCCAAACGTCGGGCTCTCCAGGGGTTAATTTGCCCCCGCTGGCCGGCTGCCTGGCTCCTGGGACAAAGACATCCCTAGCGGGTCGTGTCCCCGGGGCCTATGGTCCACGCCGACACCCAGGTCGGGCCGGGCACTCTCGGCTCCGGGGGCAAAGGTTCCTGCAGCTCGGCACCCGCCCGTCGGCACACCTCTTCCTTGAGCCGGAGGGCTTCTCGTTAGGGCTTCCTTCCCCTCTTCGAAAAAGATGCCTGAGCAATCTTCCTCCACACCTCCTGGCTCCGCAGCTGCGACAGCTCCGAACGCGAATTCCTGCAGGGGAGATCCACACCCTTTCCCGCTTAATGGCCAGGTTTACCTGTGTTGTCTCCACCGCTTGCCCAGGCTGGACTTGTCATACCACAGCAGCTCCAGGTTATCCTCCCCTCATTCCCTAGAGTCTCACCTCTTCTTTCCCAACCTCCAGCTGGTAAGGGCCCTGCTCTCGGAATCCTCCCTGGCCGCTCCAGGGATGCCAGTCCCTGATGGTTCCTGGAGAGAGGCAGGCGTGTGGTTGAACGGGCACCTGCCTGGAGGTGCCAAGCACGCCTCCCCACCAACCACGGCATAGTTGCTGTGTGATGTGGGCCCTCTCTGAACCTCCGTGGGGGGATCTTGACATCTTTGCGGAGATTCTCGGTGGGAGTTCAATGAGGTCAAGCCCAGGATCGTGGGCCCCTAACTTTCCTTACTCTCAGTCCAGCGGCACCACCTCGAGCACCTGGTTACTGCAGTTATCTTATCTCCTAATAATAGCAAGCCTTTACTGAGCACCTACTGTATACCAAGTCCCGTCCTACGTATATTGATTCATTTACCTTGACAACAATTCTACCAGGTACTATTGTTATCATCACCACACTTTTACAGGTGAGAAAACTGAGGCAGAGAGAGGCAAAGTAATTTGTTCAATCTTAGGAAGCGGAGCCAGGACACAAAATTAGGCAGTCTGGTTTCAGAATCCGTGGTCTTCATCTGTGTCCTACCTAGCCCTTCTTATTTGATGGAAATTCGTGTAGCTGTCATGTGTCGAGCACTTTTCTGGGACTCCTTGGTAAGTACTTATTGGTTGAACAATTTCTTTGCCAAGGAGGAAATGTTTTGAGATAAAAAGAAAGTCCCATCTGAACTGGGACAGGTACCAAGTGTCCAGGGCTACACGTGTCTGGTAGTTTTCATGGGGCATTTTGGTCTGAGAATCAGGTCAAAGGGCAAGGAATCTAGTGAGTATGACTTTCGGGCAAATGGTGGTGGCTGCCAAAACCATGAAGGAAACAAGCTGTGCTGGGGTTTAATTGGGTCCAAGATAGACAATTGTGTGTACAGGGCTAATGATGACAGTTAGTGAATGTCCCAACAGTGTGTCTGTAAGTTTTAGATACAGATGACTTAATACTTGAGAAAGCTTTCTCTCTACATAGGTTTAGATGTGCTTAAAATTTCCCCCTAATGCTTTGAGACTAATTCCTTATTTCAACACTTTAAAATTATTTCACAACCAACAAACTTGTTACGAATCAAGAAACACTAGATTCACGAAATCTCACGAGAGATTTGGTTTTAGTACTTTTGTTGACATTTGGGGTGTGCAGGAAAAACTAGTGAAGAGCTGTTTCAAGTGAGCTTCTTAGAGAGGATTTGATCAGTAATTTATTTGGTGAAAAATATCTGTGGAGTTACTCTTGTGTGCCAGACACTGTGCTAGGCACGGATGATACAAAACTGAGAAAGAAATGCTGTTCCTGTTCCTTGAGGATCTCACCTTCTGATGGGAAAGATGGTGTGTAAAAAAACAATTAGCAAAAATGCTATTTATAATAGAGGTGAGAAACCCCAGGGTTACCAGTCTCATGACATGCTATATCACGAGGCTACCATAGGAGGCCAAATGCTTGCACTTTTATGTTTTTGTTCTTAACATTTGTTACCTTCCCTTTTTTGAGGAAAAGGACCAGGGAAAATGGCTAGAGATGCTAGCACTATTTGTTCATCCAGCTGTGAAAGCCTGACCATTTTGAAACTAATTCAGTGACTCAAAATACTATCAACCCCCTGAGCAATCCCTTGGTAGAGATGGGATGGCAGAGAAACAGACCTTGAATAGGAAGTCACCCAGCACAGGAACAGGGTGCGGTAGTGGTTCAGGTTCAGTTGCAGACAACAGAATCCATTTTCACTATTTAAGTGGAGAGTGATCAATTACCAGATAGGTAGTAGATGACTTTTAACTCAGTGGAGCCAGTTCTGGACCAAGCTGCTGGGAATAACTCCCAGCCCCCAGAATGTTGTTGCTTCTGCCATGATTGCTCAGGACATTAAAGCCAGAGAACCCTGTAGCCTCTGCCATGATCCACACCGGCATAGTGGGAGCCTGCCTCTTGGCAGGCTCCATTCAACTCGGTTCTGAATTCAAGTCTCTTCTAAGTTCACCTGATTGGCAGACTCTAAATCACTTTCGGAACCCAAGCTGCAAGGGAATCTGGAAAAGCAGTTTCTAGTTTTCCTGTCTGCAGTACATGAAGGCATATTAGTTGGGTATGTTGATCGAGTTAATCGATGGTATCTTTTGCATTTCATTAAAATGCTGAGATTCTCTCTCAGGAGACTCTCTCAAAATACTGAGATTCTCCAGTGGACAAAGGATTAATCTCCAAAATATATAAACAGCTCATGTAGCTCAATATTAAAAAAATAAACAACCCAATCCAAAAATGGGCGGAAGACCTAAATAGACATTTCCCCAAAGAAGACATACAGATGGCCAAGAAGCACATGAAAAGCTGCTCAACATCACTAATGATTAGAGAAATGCAAATCAAAACTACAATGAGGTATCACCTCACACCAGTTAGAATGGGCATCATCAGAAAATCTACAAACAACAAATGCTGGAGAGGGTGTGGGGAAAAGGGAACCCTCTTGCACTGTTGGTGGGAATGTAAATTGATAGAACCACTATGGAGAATAGTATGGAGGTTCTTTAAAAACCTAAAAATAGAATTACCATATGACCCAGCAATCCCACTACTGGGCATATACCCAGAGAAAACCATAATTCAAAAAGACACATGCGGGGCTTCCCTGGTGGCGCAGTGGTTGAGAGTCCGCCTGCCGATGCAGGGGACACGGGTTCGTGCCCTGGTCAGGGAGGATCCCACATGCCGCGGAGCGGCTGGGCCCGTGAGCCATGGCCGCTGAGCCTGCGCGTCCGGAGCCTGTGCTCCTCAATGGGAGAGGCCACAACAGTGAGAGGCCCGCGTATGGGGGAAAAAAAAAAAAAAAAAAAAAAGACACATGCACCCCAATGTTCATTGCAGCACTATTTACAATAGCCAGGACATGGAAGCAACCTAAATGCCCATCAACAGACGAATGGATAAAGAAGATGTGGCACATATATACAGTGGAATATTACTCAGCCATAAAAAGGAATGAAATTGGGTCATTTGTAGAGACGTGGATGGATCTAGAGACTGTCATACAGAGTGAAGTAAGTCAGAAAGAGAAAAAAAAATACCGTATATTAACGCATATATGTGGAACTTCGAGAAATGGTACAGAGGAACTGGTTTGCAGGGCAGAAATTGAGACACAGATGTAGAGAACAAACGTATGGACACCAAGGTGGGTGGTGTGATGAACTGGGCGATTGGGATTGACATGTATACACTGATGTGTATAAAATTGATGACTAATAACCTGCTGTATAAAATAAATAAATAAAATAAAATTTAAAAAAATACTGAGATTCTCTCTCCAGGAATACCTTCAGGCATGGACTTTGGTCACTACCCACCCCCAACATATCATTTCTTTTTTATGCCAGATGACCTCTCAGTCCATGCTTAGGCAGGGCTTACTTTAGAGGCTGAGGTTTTTAGCACAGATTCTACCCAGTAGTGAAAATGTCATAGAAATAAAGGTGAATGTTATTGGGTCTTCCTGGCCATTGGCTGTGGAATTGCAGCTGGCAAAAGTGGAGTTAGCTGATGCTGCTAGCCTTGTGGTGCTCTTAGAAACAGGCAACCCTTTTGGGTCAAAGCCACCCAAAGCCAGGCCAGCAAAGCATGTATTGGATTTCAGTCCCAACCTACTCCTTTGACCAGGCACCTTTGTGCAGTGTACAACCTATACAACTGTATGTGGCAGCCCTGAGGGTTTGGCTCATATCCTTTCCCAAAACAAGCAGAATGAGAAGACATCCAAACAGCACCTGGTTAGTGGTGCCGTACAGAAGTCTTACATTGCCTCTCTCTCCTCTCTCCACAGAGATCCCCCAGTGTGCTGGCTGCAACCAGCATATCCTGGACAAGTTCATCCTGAAGGTCCTGGACAGACACTGGCACAGCTCCTGCCTCAAGTGTGCAGACTGCCAGATGCAGCTAGCTGACAGGTGCTTCTCCAGGGCCGGGAGCGTCTACTGCAAGGAGGACTTCTTCAAGTAAGTCAGAGCTGGGGGCTGCACCTTGCTCTCCTTGCCCTGATCTAACTGCCTCCCCCATGCAGTGAGGGGGAAGCTCTCAGTAAGGCAGGGTGGGGAGGGCAGGGGTCCACCCTCGGTGGGGTGGGTGAATCCTGGTGCTGAGAGGCTGTTCCTCATTGAGGGCCCCCTTTTGATCACCGGCCCCATCACCCCCTGAGGCCCAGAATCTCGGCCTCACTTGAGCTCTGCAAGGGCCATGGGTGGGGAGCCAGCAGGAGGCAAGAGCCAGACTTCTCCAGGGTGGCTGACAAAGGATCCCTGCAAACCCTAGAACGAGTTGCTCTTTCTGTCTTGGTGAGTTGGTGCCCCAGGGCACTTGGCTGTATCATTCCTGCGGCTTTCAGAGTGGTACTTTGAATTTTGTGCCCCAAATCTAGGGGCATCTTTATGGTTGCTCCTAGGGTCTCAGAGAAGTGTTGCTCCTGGTAGGGGTTGAGCCAGGCTCAGACAGTGTCATCAGCTTCAATGGAAATATGACAAAGAGACAGTTTTGTGTGACTGTTTAGAGCCCAGACCCTGCCTGGGTTTGAACTCACTTACTAGCAGTGTGCTCTTGGGCAAGTTATTTAACTTCTCTGTGTCTCAGTTTGCTTATCTGTAAAATGGGGCTGATAATCATAGGGTTGTTAGTTTTGAATGAGTCAACATGTGTAAATTCCTTAGGATACTTGCCTGGTACATGCGTATCAGCTCTTAAGACTGTCCTTGATTTTTCATTCTGGGGTTGGGTCCATCAGAAACAAATCATGTTGGAACTTTAGGTCAAAGTGAGGAGATCTCCTAGAATTTATTTTCCATGGCATTTAGTCTGAGACTTCTCTCCAAGAATTTATTACCTGAGGCACTTAGGCTGATGCCTCAAGTGACGTGGGCCAGCTGGTAACAGCAAAGCCAAGAGCAGGAGGTGGGGGGTGTCTGTCAGCGACACAGAGCCCAGTGTGGGTGGCCCATGGGGCGCGTGGAGCGTGGTGGGACTGCCGGGAGGCTCGCCAGCGCCGGGACACACTGGGCACAAACGAACAAGCCCCGGAGAGATGGTGTGCACCCTTCAGAGGATGTGTTTTCTGGAGACAGGGAGGAGAAATAGGGAGAGGTGCCAGTCCTGCTACAGAACGTGATCTCTCACAAATCCTCCCCAAGGCTTAACTGCGGGGAATAAGTGATTTGAATTTCCGATTCTCAAATTTGGTTACTCCAATATGAGTCGAAAAGCACTTTAAAGATGATCTTGGTAACCACAGGGGCTGCCTCCGTGGCTTGTGTTCAGAAGGTAGCACTCATTGTCACCATCACACTTTGGTCAAATGAGCACTGCTCTCTCCTTGGGCGTGTGTGTGTGTGTGTGTGTGTGTGTGTGTGTGTGTGTGCGCGCGCGCGCGCACATGTCTGTGTGTGTGTGTGCATGTCTGAGCTCCCTGAGGGTGGGGCAGTAGCTAGCACAGGCATACCCAATGAATCCTTGATGGTTCCAGTTGAGGGATGGGCCTCTGCTTCTTCCTCTAAGTCTTTTTTGTGGACTGTTCCCCTTTCTCCCATCTTCCTTTTGCTCTCCCCCCCTCTGACCCTCGCCCTGTTGCCTTTATTTTGGCATTTACGTGGTTCCGTCCCCTCTACCCACATCCTTTCTCAGCAGCACGTTTGCCTCTGCCTTCCTCCCTCATGGATGCCGTGGCCGAGCACCATGGCAGCTCTTATGGGCCCCTGGATGGGACGAGTGTCATCGTGCGTGGGGGGAGGACGGCAGGAGGACATAGGTGGGTGGGCCTGGCCATTGGGGTTTGCTGAGCTGTCCCTGCTTCCAGGGCCGGCGCATCATCCTCCTATTTGGAAATCCTCGGTGAGCTCCAGGATAGGTGCTGAGATGTCCCTGGGTCAGAATTCTGGCCGGGGTTCAGGCAAGACCTGTCAGGACCACAGACCTGGGGCTCTGTCATCAGAGAAGCTTCTTTGAGCCCCGGCCTTGCCCTAGGGCCCTATCTGATGTTTGCACCTCGACTGGCTGCCTCCGGGTGGGGGAAAGGGAGGTGGCAGCAGCTGAAGTGTAGACTTGGGTTTGGGAGAAGTGGTGGTAAGGAAAGAGGGTCGCTCTAGACCCGGGAGGAGCCCAGGGTATGGGCTAAGGAGGGATTAGCACAGGCCTGTGAGCCGTTAGCCCAAGACCAAAAATACAAGTGACAATTACTCACCCAGGCCGTTGCCCTGGGCCCCTGTCTCCATGGCCTTGCTTATCAGTAATGTCCCTGCTCATCTCCCCACACTTTGCTGCCCACACACCTCCCCACCAGACCAGCGTCCCCCCCACAGCTCAGCTCCTGACACCCCGACCCCAGCTCCTTCGGCAGGGCCCCCTCTGCCTACAGAATATCCCAGAAGCACTGTGCCGCCAGAGCCTTCCACCCTGTGCCCAGCCTCCCATCCAGCTCACTGCTTTCCTTGGGTACCCGATGCCCCCAGCAAGATGCCCCATTTCCCAGCTGTTTCATCGTCCAGGGATGAGGTCCACCCCCTCAAGGTCTCCCCATCCTTCCATGACGGTGAGTCCAGCCCCGCAGTGGCCTGGCCACCTTGCCCCTTGTCTCTTCCGATGACTCAGCACGAGCTGCTTGCTTTGCTCATTCCTCACAAACCTGTTTGATCTTCCCCGTTGGCTTGAGGAAAGGCGTATTAGTCACTCATTTTTCTGTCTTCCCCACGCACCTGGCCCCGAGCCTTGCCCACAGGCCATCGCTGGGTTTGACGCAACAGAGAGTAGATTACATAGTGAATTCACAACGCACTGTGGGGACCAGTTTCTTCCGTACCTGGCTTGGCGTCCTGCGAGTCACAGAGGCCCAGGATGCCTCCGTTATTTAGCCCCAGTTCTTCTCCTTCTGCAGGACTGCTCTGCTTCCTAAAGTAGCCCACTCTCAGGACTGGATCCTCTTGTAAAGCCGGGGAGCTGGCCGCATATTCAGTGCTGAAACCAGGTCATTACCTCTGTGATGGGGCTGCTGGGTGGAGAGAAATTGGAAACTGAAGTGATTCTCCCCACTGCCAATGGAGGGGCAATCAGACACGAAGATCGGGCACCTCTGAGGCCCTATAGGGGGGCCACATGGATTTACAGGCAGTCAGGCCTCACCCAGCTTTTGGGGACCATGGCTGTTTGGTACAGGAAGGCACATCTGCAGTACGGTTTGGTATAGCAAGTCACAGTCCTTGGTGAGGACAGAGAGGGAGAATTGTCTACGGTCAGAGCGGCCTCACCTCCCATCCACAGGGGTCTTGGGACCTGCTGCCCACTTGGGGCTCAGGCTGTGATTTGGTCACAGAATGCGTGGGTCTGCTCCTCATTACAGCTTATTAAAGGTCACCAGGCACCTGCTTTCAGATGGCACATGTGCAGAGGGACACTGGGAGCAGAGAGAACAAGAGGCGGGGCAGGAGGGGAGGGCAGTCCCAGGCAGCCCAGGTCCCTCCCTCGTCTCACACCAGGCTGCAGGTGTCACCACCAGCAGCCTCGAGAGAGGGCCAGCAGGTGCCGTGCACTTGGATTTGCCCGTCACTTGTGCCCGTGGCACTTGGAAGATGCCTGGTCAGAGGCATCTTCTCTATGCTCCTTGAAGTAAAAGAGAAAAAGAAAAAAGAAAAAGCAGTGTCCTTTTATGATATCTGCCCCAAAGCCTGGCTCGGAGGCAGAGGGCAGGATTCATTGACCTCACCGATCAACACTGTGGTTCTAAGTTCCAGGATCAATATTTTAAATCTCTTTGCCTATAACAAGGGGCAGGGCCACTGCTTTGCACAATTCCAGGGGCATCTTTTATTCTGTGTGAAGCTTTGTGACTCAAGACTGTAATGTGAGGAGTTCCCCGCTGGAGGTGTGCAATACCCCCAAAGTGGGGGAGGGGGACAGAGAGGAAAGCTGGAGGTTGGCTCCCACTAGCTTCCAGCCTGTGAGACATGGTCGTACTGGTGACTGGCAGCAGAGGGCGATGTTGGTGTGTGCACAGGCAGAAAGAAGTACTGTCGGAAGGTTGCACTCTGTGGTTGTTATGTTGTTTGAAGGGCGGGGGCTGGTAAACTCTGTCTTGCTCAGTAACATTGGCTGATTTTTGCTGTTGTTTGTTGTTTTGACTCTTGGGTCCTTGGATCCCCTTCTCCGAAGGAAATAACATTCTGGGGCCTGAGAGCAGAGGCTTAGTTGACTCATACAGCGTGCTTCTAAGATTATTACAATTTGAATCGCAAGCCAGGGGGCCAACAACTCCTTGGGTTGCATTTGCTGAGCAGGTCTTTTCTGGACTGTGCACCCAGCATGTGGAGGATCCCTGGCTCCTTGCAAAAGGACTAGAGCCTGGGGAGAGCAGAGGTCTGGGATTTGGGCTTCTGGGTCCCCCTTTTCATCACTGATTTGGTCCTGGGATGAGCCTGGCAGCTCCCTTACTCTGAGGCGTGGTGAAAACAGGTTTTCTGCTCCAGGAACTGGTTCAAGTGCTGGGGTCCTTAGGCAAGTTCCTTAACATCTCTGAGCTCCAGTGTCCTCTGCAGGAAAAATGGGAACGCTAACGGTGGCTGTTTTAGAAGACCTGGTACACAGTAGCATTTCGCAAAGGGGAGTTATTGTATCAGTGGAGTGGTCTGGTGAACCCAAATGGAGCTTGACCGAATTCCTGTCCTGTGTTTTACAAGCTGTTTGTCAGCAAACAAGTGACTAGGCCTTCCTGAAAACCTCATTCCCTTATCTGTTAAGAGGTGACATTCTAACCCACAGAGTTGCTATGAAATGCAACTTCCAAGGTTTTGGAACGTGCGGGCTCAGCGGCCATGGCTCATGGGCCCAGCCGCTCCGCGGCATGTGGGATCTTCCTGGACCGGGGCACGAACCCGCGTCCCCTGCATCGGCAGGCGGACTCTCAACCACTGCGCCACCAATGGAAGAAGATAGTGTGTAAACTGTGTCTAGCACTGCTGGGTGC